TTTCCCTTTAATATAAAAAAACTGGAAGAAAAAAGAACATTTAAACGAAAAATAAGGACATTGCAGGGTCATTAACTCTGCTAATTAACACCCCATTAATTAATGAAGATTAGTTAATGCTCCCTAGAAAGAATTAAGGCCCTCCTGAGGTTAATTAACCCATTCTAGATTAATTAATCCACCTTTAACACAAAAAAAATCAGGGGAAAGAGAAAATGAAGAAGAAGAATAATGAGGTTGAATGCTCATTAATTATGCTAATTAGCACCCCAGTAATTAATGAGGGGTCTGTAGGGTTAATTAACACCCACAGGGAATCATTAAGATCCTCCTGGGGTTAATTAATCCACCCTAGGGTTAATTAATCCCCCTTTAATATGAAAAAAACTGAAGGAAAAAAGAACATTTAAATGAAAAATAAGGAGGTTGGGGGATCATTAACTCTGCTAATTAACACTCCATTAGTTAATTAAGAATCTACTGGATTAATTAATGCTCCTCAGAAAAAATTAAGACCCTCCTGGGGTTAATTAACCCACCCTGGGGTTAATTAATCCACCCTTAATACAAAAAAAAAGAGGGAAAAGAGAAAATGGAAAAGGAGAACAAGGAGATTGGGGGCTCATTAATTATGCTAATTAGCACCCTAATAACTAATGAGGGGTCTGCAGGGTTAATTAACACCCACAGGGAATCATTAAGACCCTCCTGGGGTTGATTAATTCACCCTGGGGTTAATTAATTTCCCTTTAATATAAAAAAACTGAAGGAAAAAGAACATTTAAATAAAAAATAAGGAGATTGGGGGGTTATTAACTCTGCTAATTAACAGTCCATTAGTTAATTAAGGATCTACAAGATCAATTAACACTCCCAAGAAACAATTAAGATGCTCCTAGATTTAATTAACTCATCCTGGACTTAATTAACCCACACTTAATACAAAAAAAAGGAGACAAAAGAGAAAGCAAACAAGGAAAATAATAAGATTGGGAGCTCCTTAATTATACTAATTAGCACCCCAGTAATTAATGGGGGGTCTGCAGGGTTAATTAACACCCACAGGGAATCATTAAGACCCTGCTGGGGTTGATTAATCCACCCTAGAATTAATTAATTTTCCTTTAATATAAAAAAAACGAAGGAAAAAGGAACATTCAAATGAAAAATAAGGATGTTGGGGGATCATTAACTCTGCTAATTAACACCCCATTAATTAATTAAGGATCTACTAAATTAATTAATGCTCTCAAAAAGGAATTAAGATCCTTCTGGGGTTAATTAGCCCACCCTGGGGTTAATTAATCCCCCCTTGGACTCAGAAAGGGGAGGAGAAAAAGATCGAGGGGGGGGAAAGAATTAACGAGCTGGGGGGTCATTAATTATGCTAATTAGCACTCAGCAACCAGCAAAGTTACCCATAAATATTACACAAAAGCAATTACAGAAATAAAATGCAAATCAACCAATTAATAACTTAATTAAGGATTTACTAATTCCCTTAATTAATAAAGTAATTCAAAAGCCAATTAATTAACTGCATTAATTAACAAAGTAATTAGGAAACCAATTAACGGGATGGCCAAAAACCAAATCAATTAATTAGTGGCTCACCTGACTAATTGCTAATTACAGTAATTAATAAACTAATTAAAGCATAATTAATGCAATTAATAAGCAATTAATTAATTAGCACCTTAATTAAAAGGTTATTAATTATAATACATTGTAAGTATAAAATAAAAAGGTTCAGTTCCTTCTGCAAGGCCCTCCCAGTTCAGCCCAGTTCATCCCAGTTTATCCCAGTTCATCCCAGTGCCCTCCCAGTTTCTTCCAGTTCCATCCCAGTCCCTCCCAGTTCATCCCAGTTCATCCCAGTTCCATCCCAGTTCAGCCCAGTTCATCCCAGTTTATCCCAGTTCATCCCAGTGCCCTCCCAGTCCATCCCAGTTCATCCCAGTTCCCCCTCAGTGCTCCCAGTGCCTTCCCAGTATATCCCAGTTCCCTCCCAGTTCCTTCCTAATTTCCCCCCAATGCTCCCAGTTCATCCCAGGGATTTCCCAGTCCATCCCAGTCCCTTTCCAGTTCATCCCAGTGTCCTCCCAGTTTCTTCCAGTTCCATCCCAGTCCCTCCCAGTTCATCCCAGTGCCCTCCCAATTCATCCCAGTTTCCTACAGTTCCCTCCAAGTCCATCCCAGTTCCCCCCCCACAGTGCTCCCAGTCCATCCCAGTGCCCCCCAGTCACCCCCAGTCCGTCCCAGTAACCCTCAAAATGGGCCCAGTTCCCCCCCAGTCCCTCCCAGTGCCCCCAATCCCCTCCCAGTCGCTCCCAGTGCCTCCCAATCCCCTCCCAGTCCCCCCCAATCCCCTCCCAGTCGCTCCCAGTGCCCCCAATCCCTCCCAGTCCCCCCCAATCCCCCCCCAGTCGCTCCCAGTCCATCCCAGTCCATCCCAGTCACCTCCTCTCCTCAAAGTCACCCCCGCTCGCCGCCCGCCGGAACCAACGAGTCGCGCCGGAACCGCCGGAGCGCCGCCGGAAGTGACGTCACCAAACCACCACCGAGCGGCACCTTCAGCCCCCGAGCGCCGCCTCTTGGAGGAAAAATGGCGGACGGGGGAAAACCAGACCAGACCCGGAAGTGCCGCGAAACGGCCCCGAAAAAGCCCCAAAAAGCCCCGAAATGGCCCCAAAAAAGCCCCGAAATGGCCCCAAAAATGCTCGAAACGGCCCCGAAAAGTCAAAAAAATCATCTCGGGTTGCCCAAAAACACCATTTTTGTCCCCAAAAAAACAAAAACTCGATGGAGCTGAGGGCACTTCCGCCCGGTTGTGGGCGTGGCCTTGATGGGGGAGTTACGTGACGTCATTTCCGCTTCCGCCAGAACGCACGCGCGCGAGGGCCCCGCGTGGGAAAGGCCGCGATGAGACCCGGTCTGGACTGGGATGAACTGGGAGGAACTGGGAGCCACTGGGAGGGGGTTTGGGGGTAACTGGGAGGGACTGGGAGTGACTGGGAGGGGGTTTAGGGGTAACTGGGAGGGACTGGGAGAGAATTGGGGGGGACTGGGAGGGAATTGGGGGGACTGGGGTTAACTGGGATGGACTGGGAGGGGTTTTAGGGGTAACTGGGATGGACTGGGAGAGAATTGGGGGGGACTGGGGTTAGCTGGGAGGGACTGGGAAGGGGTTTAGGGGTTACTGGGACAAACTGGGAGCGACTGGGAGAGACTGGGAGGGGGTTTAGGGGTAACTGGGACAAACTGGGAGGGACTGGGAGGGGATTGGGGGGACTGGGGTTAACTGGGATGGACTGGGAGGCGGTTTCGGGGTAACTGGGATGGACTGGGAGGCACTGGGAGCGACTGGGAAGGGGTTTAGGGGTAACTGGGATGGACTGGGAGGGGATTGGGGGGACTGGGGTTAACTGGGATGGACTGGGAGGGGGTTTCGGGGTAACTGGGATGGACTGGGGTTAACTGGGAGCGACTGGGAGGGGGTTTAGGAGTAACTGGGATGGACTGGGAGCGGATTGGGGGGGACTGGGAGGGAATTGGGGGGACTGGGGTTAACTGGGAGGGGGTTTAGGGGTAACTGGGGCAAACTGGGAGGCACTGGGAGCGACTGGGGGATTTCAGGAGTAACTGGGATGGACTGGGAGGGGATTTCGGGGTAACTGGGAAGGGATTGGGGGGACTGGGGTTCACTGGGAGCGACTGGGAGGGGGGTTAGGGGTAACTGGGATGAACTGGGAGGGAATTGGGGGACACTGGGAAGAAATTGGGAGCACTGGGAGGGAATTGGGGGGACTGGGAGGGGATTTTGGGGTAACTGGGACGAACTGGGATGAACTGGGAGGGAGTTGGGAGGGAATTGGGGGGACTGGGAGGGGGTTTAGGGGTAACTGGGAGGGGATTGGGGGGACTGGGGTTAACTGGGAGGGACTGGGGTTCACTGGGAGCGACTGGGAGGGGGTTTAGGGGTAACTGGGACACACTGGGAGGCACTGGGAGCGACTGGGATGGACTGGGAGGGGGTTTAGGGGTAACTGGGAGCGACTGGGAGGGGATTGGGGGGCACTGGGATGGACTGGGAGGGGGTTTTGGGGTAACTGGGACGAACTGGGATGAACTGGGAGGGAATTGGGAGGGGATTGGGGGAACTGGGAGGGGGTTGAGGGGTAACTGGGACAAACTGGGATGAACTGGGAGGGAATTGGGGCGATTGGGGTTAACTGGGAAGGGGTTTAGGGGTAACTGGGACAAACTGGGATGAACTGGGAGGGACTGGGAGGGAATTGGGGCGTAGTGGGGGTAACTGGGATGGACTGGGACAAACTGGGATGGAGTGGGAACAACTGGGGAGGGATTTTGGGGTAACTGGGACACACTGGGGATTGGGGGCACTGGGGGAGCGACTGGGATGGACTGGGAGGGTTTAGGGGTAACTGGGAGCGACTGGGAGGGGATTGGGGGGCACTGGGATGGACTGGGAGGGGGTTTTGGGGTAACTGGGACGAACTGGGATGAACTGGGAGGGAATTGGGAGGGGATTGGGGAACTGGGAGGTTGAGGGTGCTGGGACAAACTGGGATGAACTGGGAGGAATTGGGGTGATTAGGGTTAACTGGGAAGGGTTTAGGGTAACTGGGACAAACTGGGATGAACTGGGAGGGACTGGGAGGGAATTGGGGCATAGTGGGGCTAACTGGGATGGACTGGGACAAACTGGGATGGAGTGGGAACAACTGGGAGGGATTTTGGGGTAACTGGGATGTACTGGGAGGGGGATTGGGGAGGCACTGGGGGACTGGAAGGGGATTGGGAACTATTGGGGTTAACTGGGAGGGACTGGGAGGCACTGGGATAAACTGGGAGGGACTGGGGGGGTGCTTGAGCCCAACTGGGAGCCTCCCAGTGCTCCCAGTCTGACCAGTTTGCCCCCCCAGGTTTCAGCCCCCGGGGGGGACGCGGCGGCTTCCGAGGCCGAGGTGAGTCCCAGTATGGACCAGTATGGACCAGTGACGGCTCTGCTGGGAGCCCCAGTGCTCCCAGTCTGACCAGTTACCCTCCCAGTTCATCCCAGTCCTTCCCAGTCCTTGCCAATCCCCTCTCAGTTACCACCCCAGTTCATCCCAGTCCATCCCAGTCCCCTCCCAGTCTGACCAGTTACCCCCCCCAGTTCATCCCAGTCCTTCCCAGTTTATCCCAGTCTCACTCAGTCTGACCAGTTACCCTCCCAGTTCATCCCAGTCCCTCCCAGTCCATCCCAGTTACTACCCCCACTTGACCCCAGTCCTTCCCAGTTTATCCCAGTCCTTCCCAGTCTAACCAGTTAGCCCTGCAGTTCATCCCAGTCCTTCCCAGTTCATCCCAGTTACCCCCCAATCCCCTCCCAGTCCATTCCAGTTCATCCCAGTTACCACCCAATCCTCTTCCAGTCCATCCCAGTGCTCTCCAGTGCTCCCAGTTCCCCTCCCAGTATAACCAGTTCCCTCCTAATCCATCCCAGTCACTCCCAGTGCTCTCCCAGTCCCTCCCAATCCCCTCCCAGTCCATCCCAGTACCCCCCAGTCCCTCCCAGTGCCCCCCAATTCCCTCCCAGTAGCTTCCAATCCCCTCCCAGTATAAACCAGTGCTCCCCAATCTGTTCCCAGTGCCCCCCAATCCTCTCCCAGTATAAACCAGTGTTCCCCAATCCCCTCCCAGTGCCTCCCAGTGCCCCCCAATCCCCTCCCAGTGCTCCCCAATCCCCTCCCAGTGCCCCCAATCCCTCCCAGTGCCTCCCAATCCCTCTCCCAGTGCCCCCAATCCCTCCCAGTCCCTCCCAGTCCCTCCCAGTCCCCTCCCAGTGCCCCCCAATCCCTCCCAGTCCCTCCCAGTCGCTCCCAGTCCCTCCCAGTGCCCCCAATCCCTCCCAGTGCTCCCAGTCCCTCCCAGTCTCTCCCAGTCCCATTCCAGTCCCCTCCCAGTATAGCCAGTTCTCCTAATGCCTCCCAGTACTCCCAGTCCCCCAATCCCTCCCAGTGCCCCCAATTCCCTCCCAGTCCCTCCCAGTATAAACCAGTCCCCCAATCCCTCCCAGTCTCTCCCAGTGCCCCTCAATCCCTTCCCAGTCCCTCCCAGTATAACCAGTTTCTTCTAATCCCTCCCAGTGCCTCCCAGTCCCACTCCCAGTCCCTCCCAGTATACCTCAGTCCCTCCCAGTGCCCTCCCAATCCCTCCCAGTCCCTCCCAGTCCCTCCCAGTCCTCCCAATCCTCCCAGTCCTCCCAGTGCCCAATCCCCTCCCAGTCCCTCCCAGTATAACCAGTGCCCTCCCATTACAGGCGGAGGTTTCCAGTCCCGCGGAGGCGTGGCCAGAGGAGGAGGGGCGGAGCCCGAGGCGGCGGGGGCGGAGCCAGAGGCGGCAGGGGGCGTGGCCGAGGCCGAGGGGCGGGGCCAGAGGAGGGCGGCCAGAGGAGGCCGGGGGCTTCAAAGGAGGCAAAAGTGACGGTGGAACCACATCGGCACGAGGGTAACTGGGAGGGACTGGGAGGACTGGGGGCACTGGGGAGGGACTGGGAGGGATTGGGAGGATTGGGGGCACTGGGAGGGACTGGGAGTGACTGGGAGGGGATTGGGGGCACTGGGAGGGGATTGGGAGGCACTTGGAGGGGATTGGGAGGGATTGGGGGCACTGGGAGCACTGGGAGGGATTGGGAGGCACTGGGAGGGATTGGGGGCACTGGGAGGGATTGGGGGCACTGGGAGGGGATTGGGGGCACTGGGAGGGACTGGGAGGGGATTGGGGGCACTGGGAGGGACTGGGAGGAGATTGGGGGCACTGGGAGGGGATTGGGGGGCACTGGGAGGGACTGGGAGGGGAAATGGGAGGGACTGGGAGGGGATTGGGGAGCACTGGAACGGACTGGGAGGGGATTTGGGGGGTGACTGGGATGTACTGGGAAGGACTAGAGGGGATTGGAGGGGACTGGGATAGACTGGGAGGAGAGTTCAAGGAACTGGGAAGAGATTGGGGGATGGAGTGGGGGAGGGACTGGGAGGGGATTGGGGGGGATTGGGAGAGTAACTGGGAGCACTGGGGAAGATTGGGAGGGGATTTGGGGGGTAACTGGGATATACTGGGAAGGACTAGAGGGGATTGGAGGGGACTGGGATAGACTGGGAGGAGAGTTCAAGGAACTGGGAAGGGATTGGGAGGGACTGGGAACACTGAGAGGGATGGAGAAGGTAGCGGGGAGAACTGGGGTGGACTGGGATGGACTGGGAGGGGATTGGGGGGCACTGGGAGCACTGGGAAGGACTGGGAGGGTATTGGGGGGTACTGGGATGGACTGGGAGGGTAACTGGGATATACTGGGCTGAACTGGGAGCCAGATGTGTCCCCTCCCCCCAGGTGTGTTCATCTGCCGGGGCCGGGACTGGGATGGACTGGGAGGGGATTGGGGGGCACTGGGATGGACTGGGAGCACTGAGAGGGATTGGGAGGAACTGGGAGGAACTGGGAGGGCACTGGGAGGGTAACTGGGAGGAACTGGGAGGGCACTGGGAGGGCACTGGGAGGTACTGGGAGGTACTGGGAGTGACTGGTGTCCCCCCCAGGTGTGTTCATCTGCCGGGGCCGGGACTGGGATGGACCGGGAGGGGATTGGGGGGCACTGGGAGCACTGGGAAGGGATTGGGGGGTACTGGGATGGACTGCGAGGGTAACTGGGATATACTGGGATGAACTGGGAGTGACTGGTGTCCCCCCCAGGTGTGTTCATCTGCTGGGGCCGGCACTGGGAGGGGATTGGAGGCACTGGGAGCGACTGGGAGCACTGGGAGGGACTGGGAGGGTATTGGGGGGTACTGGGAGGAACTGGGAGGGTAACTGGGATATACTGGGATGAACTGGGAGTGACTGGTGTCCCCCCCAGGTGTGTTCATCTGCCGGGGCCGGGACTGGGATGGGATTGGGAGGCACTGGGAGCGACTGGGAGGGGATTGGGCAGCACTGGGAGCACTGGGAAGGATTGGGAGGGTATTGGGGGGCACTGGGAGGCACTGGGAGAGTAACTGGGATATACTGGGATGAACTGGGAGTGACTGGTGTCCCCCCCAGGTGTGTTCATCTGCCGGGGCCGGGAGGACATTGGGATGGGATTGGGAGGCACTGGGAGCGACTGGGAGGGGATTGGGCGGCACTGGGAGCGACTGGGAGGCACTGGGAGGGTAACTGGGATGAACTGGGATGAACTGGGAGTGACTGGTGTCCCCCCAGGTGTGTTCATCTGCCGGGGCCGGGAGGACGCGCTGGTGACGCGGAATTTGGTGCCGGGGGAGTCGGTGTACGGGGAGAAACGGATCAGTGTGGAGGTGACTGGGAGCACTGGGAGGCACTGGGAGGGGATTGGGAAGGGATTGGGAAGGGATTGGGGGCACTGGGAGGGGATTGGGAGGCACTGGGAGGGGATTGGGAGGGGATTGGGAGGGACTGGGAGGGGATTGGGGGGTACTGGGAGGTCACTGGGATGAACTGGGAGGGACTGAGGTCACTGGGATGAACTGGGGGGTCACTGGGATGGACTGGGAGAGCGATGGCAGGAACTGGGAGGTCACTGGGATGAACTGGGAGGTCACTGGGAGGAACTAGGAGAGCACTGGGATGCATTAGGAGGTCACCGAGATGAACTGGGACGTCACTGGGATGAGCTGGGAGGTCACTGAGATAAACTGGGAGAGCACTGGGATGAACTGGGTGGGAACTGGGATGAACTGGGAGAGCACTGGGATGAACTGGGGGGCACTGGGAGGGACTGGGAGGGACTGGGATGGATTAGGAGGTCACTGGGGTGAGCTGGGCTGAACTGGAGAGCACTGGGATGAACTGGGGGGTCACTGGGATGGGCTGGGAGAGCGATGGCAGGAACTTGGAGGTCACTGGGAGGAACTGGGAGAGCACTGGGATGAACTGGGAGAGCACTGGGATGAACTGGGAGGGGACTGGGAGGAACTGGGAGATGACTGGGAGATGACTGGGAGGAACTGGGAGAGCACTGGGATGAACTGGGTGGGAACTGGGATGAACTGGGAGGTCACTGGAATGGATTAGGAGGTCACTGGGATGAACTGAGAGGGCACTGGGATGAACTGGGGACTCACTGGGAGGAGCTGGAGGTCACTGGAAGGAACTGGGAGAATGCTGGGATGAACTGGGATGGACTGGGGGTTAGTGGGATGGACTGGGAGAGCACTGGGATGAACTGGGTGGGGACTGCGATGGATTAGGAGGTTACTGGGATGAACTGGGAGAGCACTGGGATAAACTGGGAGGTCAGTGGAATGAACTGGCAGGTCACTGGGATGGACTGGAGATCACTGGGATGAACTGGGAGAACGCTGGGATGAACTGGAAGGTCACTGGGATGAACTGGGATGGACTGGTTTAAACTGGTGCATACTGTCTGTACCAGCCCGTTGTTGTATCTACTGGTTTTTGTTACTCAGTACTGGTTTTTACTGGTTCATGCTGGTTCATTGTGGTTTTTATTGGTGCATACTGGTTCATACTGGTTTATACTGGTTCTAACTGGTTTTTACTGGTTTCAGGAGGGTGATGGATCCATCGAGTACCGTGCATGGAACCCGTTCCGCTCCAAGCTGGCCGCAGCCATTCTGGGGGGCATCGACCGCATCCACATCCGGCCCGGGGCGAAGGTTCTGTACCTGGGGGCGGCCTCGGGGACCACCGTGTCACACGTGTCTGACATCGTGGGGCAGGTGAGACACCTGGGACACACCTGGGGGGATAAACACACACCTGGGACACACCTGGGGACAGGTAACACACCTGGGACACACCTGGGAGGCCGGCCTCGGGACCACCGTGACACACTGCGTCGACATCGTGGGGCAGGTAACACACACCTGGGACACACCTGGGACACACCTGGGACACACCTGGGACACACCTGGGACACACCTGGGGACAGGGGACACACCTGGGACACACCTGGGGGCGGCCTCGGGGACCACCGTGTCACACGTGTCTGACATCGTGGGGCAGGTGAGACACACCTGGGGACACCTGGGGGGATAAACACACACCTGGGGACAGGGGACACACCTGGGACACACCTGGGACACAGCTGGGCACACCTGGGGACAGGGGACACACCTGTACACACCTGTACACACCTGGGACACACCTGGGGACAGGGGACACACCTGGGGACACCTGGGACACACCTGGGGACACACCTGGGACACACCTGGGGACAGGGCACACACCTGGGACACACCTGGGGGCAGGGGACACACCTGGGGACACCTGGGGACAGGTAACACACCTGGGACACACCTGGGACACACCTGGGGGCGGCCTCGGGCACCACCGTGTCACACGTGTCTGACATCGTGGGGCAGGTGAGGGACACACCTGGGACAGGTAACACACACCTGGGGACACACCTGGGGACAGAGGACACACCTGGGACACACCTGGGACACACCTGGGGACAGAGGACACACCTGGGACACACCTGGGGACACACCTGGGACACACCTGGGACACACCTGGGACAGGGGACACACCTGGGGACAGGGGACACACCTGGGACACACCTGGGGACAGGGGACACACCTGGGACACACCTGGGGCGGCCTGCGGGGACACACCTGGGTCACACGTGTCTGACATCGTGGGGCAGGTGAGACACACCTGGGACAGGGGACACACCTGGGACACACCTGGGGACACACCTGGGGACAGGTGACACACCTGGGGACAGGTAACACACCTGGGACACACCTGGGGGGATAAACACACACCTGGGACAGGGGACACACCTGGGACACACCTGGGACACACCTGGGGGCGGCCTCAGGGACCACCGTGTCACACGTGTCTGACATCGTGGGGCAGGTGAGGGACACACCTGGGGGGATAAACACACACCTGGGGACACACCTGGGGACAGGGGACACACCTGGGACACACCTGGGACACACCTGGGACACACCTGGGGGCGGCCTCGGGCACCACCGTGTCACACGTGTCCGACATCATGGGGCAGGTGAGACACCTGGGACAGGTAACACACCTGGGACACACCTGGGACACACCTGGGACACACCTGGGGACAGGGGACACACCTGGGACACACCTGGGGGCGGCCTCGGGGACCACCGTGTCACACGTGTCTGACATCGTGGGGCAGGTGAGGGACACACCTGGGACACACCTGGGACACACCTGGGACTGATGGGGACACACCTGGGGGGATAAACACACACCTGGGGACACCTGGGGACTGGTGACACACCTGGGCACACCTGGGGACACACCTGGGGACGGGTGGGACACACCTGGGGACTGGTGGCACACACCTGGGGACGGGTGGCACACACCTGGGACACAGGTGTGTCCCCAGGAAGGAGGGCATGGTTTAATTGGTGGGTGTGTCCCCAGGAGGGCGTGGTCTGTGTGGTGGGTGTGGCTTAATGGTGGGTGTGTCCACAGGAAGGCGTGGTCTCTGGGTGGGTGTGGTGTGATTTGTAGGCGTGTCCCCAGGAAGGCGTGGTCTGTGTAGTGGGTGTGGTCTCTCGGTGGGCGTGGTCTAACAGGTGGGCGTGTCCCCAGGAGGGCGTGGTCTATGTGGTGGGCGTGGTCTGATTAATGGGCGTGTCTTCAGGAGGGCGTGGTCTATTTAATGGCTATGATGTAATCAGTGGGCGTGGTCTAATTGGTGGGCATGTCCCCAGGAGGGCGTGGTCTGTGTAATGACTATGATGTAATCAGTGGGTGTGGTCTGATTGATGGGCGTGTCCCCAGGAGGGCGTGGTGTATTTAATGGCTATGATGTAATCAGTGGGCGTGGTCTAATTGATGGGCGTGTCCCCAGGAGGGCATGGTCTGTATGATGGATGTGATGTAATCAGTGGGCGTGGCCTAACTTGGGCATGTCCCCAGGAGGGCATGGTCTGTATAATGGCTGTGATGTAATCAGTGGGTGTGGTTTAATGATGGGCGTGTCCCTAGGAGGGCGTGGTCTATTTAATGGCTATGATGTAATCAGTGGGCGTGGCCTAATGCGTGGGCGTGTCCCCAGCAGGGTGTGGTCTCTGGGTGGGTGTGGTCTCTGGGTGGGCGTGGTCTAACAGGTGGGCGTGTCCCCAGGAGGGCGTGGTCTGTGTGGTGGGCGTGGCCTAATTGGTGGGCGTGTCCCCAGGAGGGCGTGGTCTAACATGGTCTAACATGGGCGTGTCCCCAGGAGGGCGTGTCCCCAGGAGGGCGTGGTCTATTTAATGGCTATGATGTAATCAGGGGGTGTGGTCTAACATGGGCGTGTCCCCAGGAGGGCGTGGTCTATTTAATGGCTATGATGTAATCAGTGGGCGTGGCCTAACGTGTGGGCGTGGTCTCTGTGTGGGCATGGTCTAACATGGGCGTGTCCCCAGGAGGGCATTGTCTGTGTAATGACTGCAATACAATCAGTGGGCGTGGCCTGACTGGTGGGTGTGTCTCCAGGAGGGTGTGGTCTGTGAGTGGGTGTGGTCTAATGGGTGGGTGTGGTCTCCGGGTGGGCGTGGTCTGATTGGTGGGCGTGTCCCCAGGAGGGCGTGGTCTCTGGGTGGGCGTGGCCTAACATGGGCATGTCCCCAGGAGGGCGTGGTCTCTGGGCGGGCGTGGACTCTGGGTGGGTGTGGCCTGATTGGTGGGTGTGTCCCCAGGAGGGCGTGGTCTCTGTGTGGTGGGCATGGTCTAATGGGTGGGCATGTCCCCAGGAGGGCGTGGTCTGTATGATGGTCATGATGTAATCAGTGGGCGTGTCCCCAGGAGGGCGTGGTATGTGTGGTGGGTGTGGTCTCTGGGTGGGCGTGGCCTAACGTGTGGGCGTGTCCCCAGGAGGGCGTGGTCTCTGGGTGGGCGTGGCCTAACATGGGCGTGTCCCCAGTAGGGTGTGGTCTCTGGTGGGTGTGGCCTAACATGGGTGTGTCCCCAGGAGGGCGTGGTCTGTGTGGTGGGCGTGGTCTGTGTGGTGGGCGTGGCCTAACGTGTGGGCGTGTCCCCATGAGGGTGTGGTCTGTGTGGTGGGCGTGGTCTCTGGGTGGGCGTGGTCTAACATGGGCGTGTCCTCCGGAGGGCGTGGTCTCTGGGTGGGCATGGCCTGATTGGTGGGCGTGTCCCCAGGAGGGCGTGGTCTGTGGGTGGGCGTGGCCTAACATGGGCGTGTCCCCAGGAGGGCGTGGTCTGTGTAATGGCTATGATGTAATCAGTGGGTGTGGTTTAATGATGGGCGTGTCCCCAGGAGGGCGTGGTCTGTGTGGTGGGCGTGGTCTCTGGGTGGGCGTGGCCTGACTGGTGGGCGTGTCCCCAGGAGGGCGTGGTCTACGCGGTGGAGTTCTCGCACCGCTCGGGGCGGGATCTGCTCAACGTGGCCAAGAAAAGGACGAACGTGGTGCCCGTCATCGAGGACGCCCGGCACCCCCACAAGTATAGGATGCTCATAGGTCAGTCAAATTTAACTAAAACAACCCAAAATTAACCCAAAATTAACCAAAATCACCCCAAAATACCATAAAATCACCAAAATTAACAAAAGCCAGCGTGGTGCCCGTCATCGAGGACGCCCGGCACCCACACAAGTACAGGATGCTCATAGGTCAGTGAAATTTAACAAAAACAGCCCAAAATTAACCAAAATCACCAAAAATCACCCCGAAATTATGAGAAAATGTCATAAAATCAACCAAAATTAACATAAAAGCCCCAACGTGGTGCCCGTCATCGAGGACGCCCGGCACCCACACAAGTACAGGATGCTGATTGGTGGGTTAAATTAACCAAAAACAGCCCAAAATTAACCAAAATCACCCCAAAATTACCCAAAATTATCGTAAAATCAACCAAAATTAACATAAAAGCCCCAACGTGGTGCCCGTCATCGAGGACGCCCGGCACCCACACAAGTACAGGATGCTCATTGGTGGGTTAAATTAACCAAAACCAGCCCAAAATTAACCAAAATCACCGAAAATCACCCCGAAATTATCGTAAAAATCAACCAAAATTAACATAAAAGCCCCAACGTGGTGCCACGTCATCGAGGACGCCCGGCACCCTCACAAGTACAGGATGCTCATTGGTGGGTTAAATTAACCAAAACCAGCCCAAAATTAACCAAAATCACCCCAAAATTACCTAAAATCACCCTGAAATTACCCAAAAATATCTTAAAATTAAACAAAAATAACATAAAAGCCCCAACGTGGTGCCCGTCATCGAGGACGCCCGGCACCCACACAAGTACAGGATGCTCATTGGTGGGTTAAATTAACCAAAACCAGCCCGAAATTAACCAAAATCACCAAAAATCACCCCAAAATCACCCTGAAATTACCCAAAATTATCATAAAATCACCTAAAGATAACATGAAAGCCCCAACGTGGTGCCCGTCATCGAGGACGCCCGGCACCCACACAAGTACAGGATGCTCATTGGTGGGTTAAATTTACCAAAACCGACCCAAAATTAACCAAAATCACCCCAAAATGTCATGAAAAGACCCCAAAATGACCCAAAACCCCCCCAAAACGACCCCAAAATGAGCCAAACCTCCAAAATGACCCAAAATGACCCAAAACGACTCCAAAATGAGCCCAAACCCCCCAAACTGTCCCAAATTCCCCAAAATGGCCCAAAACCCCCCAAAGTGACCCAAATCCCCCCAAACTGTCCCAAATTCCCCAAAATGAGCCAAATTCCCCAAAATGACCCAAATCCCCCCAAACTGTCCCAAAGTGACCCAAAATCCCCAAAACTGACCCAAATTCCCCAAAATGACCCAAATCCCCCAAAATGACCCCAAAATGAGTCAAAACCCCCAAAATGACCCAAAACGACCCCAAAATGACCCAAAATCCCCCAAAATGACCCAAAACCTCTCAAAATGACCCCAAAATGACCCAAATTCCCCCAAACTGACCCCAAACTGACCCAAATCCCCCCAAATGGCCCAAAACGACCCCAAAATGACCCAAAACCCCCCAAAAGGACCCCAAAATGACCCAAACCCTCCCTAAACTGACCCAAATCCCCCAAAATGACCTCAAAACCCCCCAAAACGACCCCAAAATTACCCAAAACCCCCCAAACTGACCCAAATTCCCCAAAATGAGCCAAATCCCCCAAAATGACCCCAAAATGAGTCAAAACCCCCAAAATGACCCAAAACGACCTCAAAATGACCCAAAATCCCCCAAAATGACCCAACCCCCCCAAAATGACCCAAAACCTCTCAAAATGACCCCAAAATGAACCAAAACCCCTCAAATCCTTCAAACTGACCCAAAATCCCCAAAACTGACCCCAAAATCCCCCTCCCCCCAGGGATGGTCGATGTGATTTTCGCCGACGTGGCCCAGCCCGACCAGACCCGAATCGTGGCCCTGAACGCCCACCACTTCCTGCGCTGCGGGGGGCACTTCATCATCTCCATCAAGGTGAGACCAGTTCGGACCAGTACAGACCAGTACAGACCAGTATAGACCACTACGGACCAGTATAGGGCGTTATATACCAGTACGGACCAGTACTGGTCACTGGGATGGGCAGTGGGGCACTGGGACCAGTTAAGGGGGGTGGGGACACTTCATCATCTCCATCAAGGTGAGACCAGTTCGGACCAGTACAAACCAGTACAGACCAGTATAGACCAGTATAGGGCATTATATACCAGTATGGACCAGTACGAGTCAATGTAAACCGGTACGGGTTACTGGGATGGGCAGTGGGGCACTGGGACCAGTTCATGGGGGGTGGGGACACTTCATCATCTCCATCAAGGTGAGACCAGTTCACACCAGTATGTCCATACTGGTCTATACTGGTTCCTACTGGTTTATACTGGTCTATACTGCTCTAAACTGGTTTAGTTTATGCTGGTTTATACTGGTGTATACTGGTCTGTATTGGTCTATACTGGTTTATACCACTCTATGCTGGTCCGCACTGATTTTTACTGGTTCATACTGGTTTATACTCATTCATACTGGTTTGTACTGGTCTATACTGGTTTATACTCAATACTGGCCCGTACTGGTTTGTACTGGTCTGTACTGGTCTCTACCACTTTATACTGGTTTTTATTGATTTACACTGGTCTATACTGGTTTATACTGGTCTATTCCAGTTTATAGTGGTCTATACTGGTTTATAGTGGTTTGTACTGGTTTATAGTGGCTTGTACTGGTTCATACTGGTCTATGTTTTGAACTGGTCCACAGTGATTTATACTGGTTTATACTGGTTTATATTTCTCCGTACTGGTGTGTACTGATTTATACTGGTTTATACTGGTCCATGCTGATTTATACTGGTCTATACTGGTTCAGTTTATACTGGTTCATAGGTGTTTATACTGGAGTATGTCATTCTATATTGGATTATAGTGGTCTATACTGGTTTATACTGGTCTATCCCATTCTGTACTGGTTTTTACCGGTCCGTACTGGTTTGTACTGGTTCCTACTGGTTTATACTGGTCTGTACTGCTTTATACTGGTCTATACTGTTTCATACTGGTTTATGTTCTATATTGGTCCATTCTGGCTTATACTGGTGCATACTGGTCTATACTGGTTTGTAACACTCTATACTGGTCTATATTGGTCTGCACTGGTTTCTACTGGTCCCTACTGGTTCCTACTGGTTTATACTGGTCTATAGTGCTTTAAACTGGTTTAGTTTACATTGCTCTATACTCGTATATACTGGTCTATACTGGTCTGTACTGGCTTATACTGGTCCATCTTGTTCTATACTGGTTTTTACCGGTTCCTACTGGTTCCTACTGGTTTATACTGGTCTATACTGGTTTACCCTATCCTATAGTGCTTTAAACTGGTTTAGTTTACATTGCTCTATATTCACATTGACTGGTCTATACTGGTCTATATTGGCTTATACTGGTCTATTCCATTCTATACTGGTTTTTTCTGGTTCCTACTGGTTCCTACTGGTTTATACTGGTCTATACTGGTCTATACTGGTCTACAGCGCCTTAAACTGGTTTAGTTTACATTGCTCTATACTTGTATATACTGGTCTATACTGCTCTATACTGGTCTATATTGGTTTATACTGGTCTATCCCATTCTATACTAGTTTTTTCTGGTCCCTACTGGTTCCTACTGGTTTCTACTGCTCTATACTGGTTTATACTGGTCTATAGCACTCTGTACTGGTTTAGTTTATGCTGGTCTGTACTTATATTGACTTGTCTGTACTGCTCTCTACTGATCTATACTGGTTTATACTGGTCTATCCCGTTCTATACTGGTTTCTACTGGTCTGTACTGGTTCCTACTGGTTCCTACTGGTTTATGTTCTATATTGGTCCATTCTGGCTTATACTGGTGCATACTGGTCTATGCTAGTTTATACTGGTTTGTGACGCTCTATAATGGTCGCACTGATTTCTACTGGTTCGTACTGGTCCCTACTGGTTTATACTGGTCTATAGCGCTTTAAACTGGTTTAGTTTATATTGCTGTATACTCGTATTGACTGGTCTATACTGGTCTATACTGGTCTATCCTATTCTATACTGGTTTTTACTGGTTTATACTGGTCCCTACTGGTTCCTACTGGTTTATACTGGTCTACAGTGCTTTAAACTGGTTTAGTTTCTATTGCTCTATACTCGTATTGACTGCTCTATACTGGTCTATACTGGTCTATACTGGTTTATACTGGTCTATAGCACTCTGTACTGGTTTAGTTTATGCTGCTCCATTCTCGTATTGATTGCTCTATACTGGTCTATATTAGTCTATACCGGTCTATACTGGCTTATATTGGTCTATCCCATTCTATACTGTTTTTTTCTGGTTCGTACTGGTCCCTACTGGTTCTTACTGGTTTGTACTGGTCTATACTGGTTCGTACTGGTTTATGTTTTATATTGGTCCATTCTGGTTTATACTGGTCTATACTGGTCTATACTGGTTTATACTGGTTTGTAACGCTCTATAATGGTTGCACTGGTTTGTACTGGTTCCTACTGGTTTATACTGGTCTACAGCGCCTTAAACTGGTTTAGTTTACATTGCTCTATACTTGTATATACTGGTCTATACTGCTCTATACTGGTCTATACTGGCATATAATGGTCTATCCCATTCTATACTGGTTTTTACCGGTCTCTACTGGTGTCTACTGGTTCATACTGGTTTATACTGGTCCATACCACTCTGTACTGGTTTAGTTTATGCTGGTCTATACTCACATTGACTGCTCTATACTGGTCTATATTAGTCTATACCGGTCTATATTGGCTTATACTGGTCTATCCTATTCTATACTGGTTTTTACCAGTTCCTACTGGTTTGTACTGGTCCATACTGGTTTGCACTGGTCTACACCACTCTGTACTGGTTTAGTTTATGCTGCTCTATTCTCGTATTGATTGCTCTATACTGGTCTATATTAGTCTATACCGGTCTATACTGGCTTATACTGGTCTATCCCATTCTATACTGGTTTTTTCTGGTTCGTACTGGTCCCTACTGGTTCATACTGGTTTGTACTAGTTTATACTGGTCTACAGTGCTTTAAACTGGTTTAGTTGATGTTGGTCTGTACTTGTATTGACTGGTCTGTACTGGTCTCTACTGATCTATACTGGCATATACTGGCGTATCCCATTCTCTACTGTTTTTTTCTGGTTCATACTGGTTTGTACTGGTTCATACTGGTTTGTACTGGTCTATACTGGTTTATACTATCCTATAGTGCTTTAAACTGGTTTAGTTTCTATTGCTCTATACTCGTATTGACTGCTCTATACTGGTCTATACTGGCTTATACTGGTCCATCCCATTCTATACTGGTTTTTACTGGTCCGCACTGGTTCCTACTGGTTCCTACTGGTCTATACTGGTTTATACTGCTCTATACCACTCTGTACTGGTTTAGTTTATGCTGGTCTATACTCACATTGACTGGTCTATACTGGTCTATATTAGTCTATACCGGTCTATACTGGCTTATACTGGTCCATCTTGTTCTATACTCTTTTTTTCTGGTCCGCACTGGTTTGTACTGGTTCCTACTGGTTTATACTGGTCTATACTGGTTTATACTATCCTATAGTGCTTTAAACTTGTTTAGTTTACATTGTTCTATACTCATATTGACTGGTCTATATTGGTTTGTACTGGTCTATACTGGTCCGTCCCATTCTATACTGGTCCCTACTGGTCCCTACTGGTCCCTACTGGTCCCTACTGGTTCCTACTGGTTTATACTGGTCTATACTGCTTTAAACTGGTTTAGTTTCTATTGCTCTATACTCGTATTGACTGCTCTATACTGGTTTGTACTGGTCTATACTGGTCTATCCCATTCTATACTGGTTTTTACTGGTTCTCTATTGGTTCCTCCTGGTTCCTACTGGTTTATACTGGTCTATACCACTCTGTACTGGTTTAGTTTATGCTGGTCTATACTCACATTGACTGGTCTATACCGGTCTATACTGGCTTATACTGGTCTATCCCATTCTATACTGGTTTATACTGGTCTATCCCATTCTCTACTGGTTTTTACCGGTCCGTACTGGTTCCTACTGGTTCCTACTGGTTTATACTGGTCTATACTGCTTTAAACTGGTTTAGTTTCTATTGCTATATACTCGTATTGACTGCTCTATACTGGTCTATACTGGTCTATACTGATCTATACTGGCATATACTGGCCTATCCCATTCTATACTGGTTTTTTCTGGTCCGCACTGGTTTGTACTGGTCCATACTGGTTTGCACTGGTCTATGCCACTCTGTCCTAGTTTAGTTTATGCTGGTCTATACTCACATTGACTGGTCTATATTGGTCTATACCGACCTATACTGGTTTATACTGGTCCATCTTGTTCTATACTGGTTTTTACTGGTTCATACTGGTCCGTACTGGTCCATACTGGTTTATACTGGTCCCCCAGGCCAACTGCATCGACTCTACGGCGCCGGCCGAGGCGGTGTTCGCGGGGGAGGTTCGGAAGATGACGGCGGAGAGGATGAAACCCCAGGAGCAGCTGACGCTGGAGCCCTACGAGAGGGACCACGCCGTGGTGGTGGGGGTGTACCGGTACTGGGGCACACTGGGAGCACTGGGAGGGGACTGGGGGGCACTGGGAGGGGATTGGGGGGCACTGGGAGGGCACTGGGGATTGGGGCACTGGGAGGGGACTGGGAGGGGATTGGGGGCACTGGGAGGGCACTGGGAGGGATTGGGGGCACTGGGAGGGGATTGGGGGCACTGGGAGTGACTGGGGAGCAAACTGGGCTATACTGGGATGGCACTGGTGGTTACTGGACTGTACTGGGAGGGCACTGGGGAGACACTGGGATGGCACTGGGAGGGCACTGGTGGTAACTGGGCTATACTGGGATGGTACTGGCGATTACTGGGAGGGCACTGGTGGTAACTGGGCTATACTGGGATGGCACTGGTGGTTACTGGGAGGGCGCTGGTGGTAACTGGGCTATACTGGAATGGACTGGGAGGGCACTGGGATAGTACTGATGGTAACTGGGCTATACTGGGAGGGAACTGGTGGTTACTGGGCTATACTGGGAGGGCACTGGTGGTAATTGGGCTATACTGGGAGGGCACTGGTGGTAACTGGGAGGGCGCTGGTGGTAACTGGGCTATACTGGGATGGCACTGGGAGGGCACTGGGAGGGCACTGGGATTAACTGGGCTATACTGGGATGGATTGGGAGGACCCTGGGATGGTACTGGTGGTAACTGGGCTATACTGGGAGGGCACTGCTGTGCACTGGTCCCTAACTGGTCCATACTGGTGTGTCCCCAGGCCCCCCCCCAAGGAGAAATGACGTCACCGGACTCCCCCGAGGGGCGTGGCCTGAGCCGAGAAAAGGGGGCGGAGCCTCAAACAAGCCCCGCCCCCCCAGTTGGAATTTGGGTCAAATCTGGGGGGTTTTGGGGGTTTTGGGGAGAGGGGAAAAAAAAGGAGGGGGGATTTTTTTGGTAATAAAAGAGAAAATTCATTAACAGAGGTGTTAATTGAAGGGGAGGGGTTTGTTTGGGGGTGGGAGGGGTTTTTTGGGGGGTGGGAGGGGTTTATTGGGGGTGGGAGGGGGCCTTTGGTGGCCCCTCCCCCACCCCCCCAAAATTTCACACGGCTCCCTGGGGTCACGAGGGCTCGGGGGCACCTGAAGGGGGAGGAGGGGTCGGGGGAGGGGCATGATGTTGACACCCCCTCGGCCCCTCCCCCTTTCCTGCCCCTCCCCCACCTTTTCCTGCCCCTCCCCACCTCTTCCCTGTTTTTGGCCCCTCCCCACTCCTTAGAACCACCCCGACCCTCTCCCCCCTTTGGGGCCCCTCCCCCACCTCAAGAACCACCCTTGGCCCCTCCCCCTTGGGACCCCTCCCCACCTCAAGAACCACCCATCACCCCTCCCCCACCTCTGGCCCCTCCCCCCCAAAACTCAACCATAACCCTCTCCCCACCTTTGGGCCCCTCCCCACCTCAAGAACCCACCCATGACCCTCCCCCACCTTTAGTCCCCTCCCCACCCCTGGCCCTCCCCCACCCCTGGCCCCTCCCCCACCCCTGGCCCCTCCCCCTCACCTCCTCGTAGCCCCCAAGGCTCCACCTCCTCGTGGGGGTGGGACCAATCACCTGCAGGAGGGGTGGGGAGGGGGAGAGCCTACCACAGGTCAGGTGGGGGAGGGTGGCACCCCCAGCCCTCCCCCCACCCCTTTCAACCTCTCCCCCACCCCCCAAAACAAACTCACCCTGGGGGTCCCAGGAGGTCGCTGGGGGCTCGAGGGACCCCTCGGGGGTCACCTGGGAGAGGAGGGGAGCAGGCGATTGAGGACCCTCCCCCACCCTATTTCCCCTCCCTCTTTGGGGTTCCCCCTCCCCCCAGTTCTCCCCTCCCCATGATTTGAGGCCCCTCCCCCACCCTTGGGGGTGTTTCCTGCCCCTCCCTCCCCTTCAGGGCATTTCCTGCCCCTCCCTCCACCCTCCTGGCCACTCCCACTCTCAAATCCCTTTCTGCCCTCCCCCATCCTCTTGCCTCCCCACCCTCAGGGCCCCTCCCCCAATAAAGGGCCCCTCCCCACCCTCAATCTCCTCCTGCCCTCCCCCCACCCTCAGGGCCCCCCTCAAATCCCCTCCTGCCCCTCCCTACCCTTTAATCCCCTCTCTCCAGCCCCCTCCCCACCCTCCTGGCCCCTCCCCCACCCTCCATCCCCTCTCCAACCCCTCCCCACCCTCTTGCTCCCTCCCCACCCTCAGGGCCCCTCCCTCACCCTCAAATCCCTTTTTGCCCCTCCCCTACCTCCTGGCCCCTCCCCACCCTCAAATTCTCTCCCTGCCCCTCCCCACCCTCTTTCCCCTCCCCACCCTCTTGCCCCTCCCCCACCCTCCTTCCCCTCCCCCACTTTCCTGGTCCTTCCCCCAACCTTCCAATCCTTCTTGCCCCTCCCCCACTCTCAGGGCTCCTCCCCACCCTCTTGCCCCTCCCCCTCCCTCCTCCACCTCCCCCTCCCCTCACGCCTGGTGATGTCCTGCGTGTCCCGCAGGGCGCGCTGTTGCTGCCTCCACCTGCCCCTCCCCCACCCTCACCTCCCCTCCCCCATCCCCATCCCCTCCCCCACCTTGGTGACGTCCTGCGTGTCCCGCAGGGGGCGCTGCTGCCACCTCCCCGGCCCCTCCCCGCATCCCCCTGCCCCTCCCCCACCCTCCATCCCCCCTCCATCACCCTCCCCAGCCCCTCCCCCTCACCTTGGTGACATCAGGCGTGTCCTGCAGGGGGCGCTGTTGCTCTCCTCCACCGGCCCCTCCCCACCCTCCATCCCCCCCTCCATCCCCTCCCCAACCCCTCCCCCTCACCTTGGTGACGTCCTGCGTGTCCCGCGGAGGCGCTGTTTCCTCCCCGGCCCCTCCCCACCGGCAGTATCCAAGCCCCGCCCCCTCCTCCATCCCCCTCCCCAACCCCTCCCCCTCACCTTGGTGACGTCCTGCCTGTCCTGCAGGGGGCGCTGTTGTTCCTCCTCGGCCCCTCCCCCACCCTCTCTGCCCCTCCCCACCCTCCATCCTCCCCATCCCTCTCCAGCCCCTCCCCCTCACCTTGTTGACATCCTGCGTGTCCCGCGGGGGCGCTGTTGCCTCCTCCCCCGGCCCCTCCCCACCGGCAGTATCCAAGCCCCGCCCCCAACGCTGCCAGGAGGGCCCCGCCCAGCGCGCTCAGCGCCCCCTGCAGGGCGGGGCGGCCGGAGTCCTCCGGGCCGCCCGGGCGCTGCCGGCGGGGGAGGGACGACGAGGGGCTCCGGGGGCCTCTGAGGGAGGGAGGAAAAAAAAAGTCACTTCCTGTTCACTTCCGGGTCATTCTCGGCCCTCCCATAGCCCCACCCCTTGCAGCGTCATTACCGGCAGTGGTGGCGCGGATCCACAGGGGGCGCTGTCCGCGGCGGTGCGCGGGCGCGCAGGGTGACGTCATGGGGCGTGGCGGAAGGAGCCCCCAGGGTGAGGGCGTGGCCGGAAGTGAGGAGGGAGGCGGGG